GAGAAGGGTGGTCAAAATTTCCTACACATCTAGTGGTTTTTTTATGAGTTCTGTACGTTGTTTTGCACATTGCTCAGAATTTGGTGTTAGGGAACAAATGTTTTTTTTGGCCCAGGGGGAAAGGGGGCCCGGGTTTTTTAAAAAGTTGTGGGGTTTAAAAATTTAAAATTTGACCCCCCCCCCCCCCTCCCCTTTGGCTATAATAGTTTTTAAAATGAACCCCCCTCCCCTACGTCTCCTAGACCTAGTTTAAAAATAAGCCGGTTATTTCTCCTTCTTTACTTGGACTTTGACTTCATAAGCAATGGGATACCGGTAGTTTGGTTAGGTGGAGATAGTTGATAGGATCCTGGGGCAAACTTGGTTATATAGCATTCAATATGGCGGCTGCAAATCTAGCAAAGATTCATGTGAGGTAGGGTAGTAAGTTGAGAACGTCTCTAAACCGGCACCAAAAAAGGCGTGAAGCTCGAGGAAAGTCAATGAAAGGGAAGAATTTAAGATCCTTACTCTAGTGTCTTGGGATAAAATTTTCAGTTATAGCCAGAGTATGTTGTGCAGATGTCAAGAGAAGGGAAACAAAAGAATTGTACAGCTTGAGGTCTCCGTTTTGTTGCCGGCAGAGAAATCAAAGAAACGTCAACGAGATTTTTTTGTCTTCTTTGGAAAGGAAGCTTGGATTTTCCTAATTTTAATATTGTTAAACAACTCAGTTACATAGAATGGAAATCCTGTGTCTCTCAAATTCGACCAGGCCGCTTTCAATTTCAGTGTACGTTTTATAAATTGACATCCCAAAATTCTGCCTGTTCAAAAATTGTACCCCTCTACAACGCCCCCGTGCTGTTTTTAACTGGTTTGACATGTTTTCTTGATATTTCGAGGTCAATATATCAGTTTTTGTGTGTGATAGCAATGGCGGAAGAGGAAAAATAAAACAAATAAAGAGGAGCGTAATAACTGTACTTGGGAGGAGAGGAAGGGGACTGGGGTAAGAAAAAATTCTGTTTGGTGCTAGAAAGAGCTAAAAAGAATCAGTGAACCGCAAGTGGAACCATTTGTTGGACATTGAAGGGGCGGGAAATAGAAAGTGCATGATTACGTTACGTCTCGGTGATTTACAAACATTTATTGAGACTCCCTTTACAGGGCTTTTCAGTCACAATACGCTAACCATTTAAAACTTACTATTTATAAGAAAAAAAGAATAAATGATTAACTAATTTATTATTAAAAAAGATGAAAGTAACTTTAAGAACATATTTGTAAGTCTCTTTTTAAAAATTCGACAATCTGCTACTTCCTTCATGTCTTTAGGTAGTTTGTTCCAAGAAGTAGCCCCTCTAAAGGCGGAAGATTGCGGCCCAGTTTTCAATCTGTATCTCGGTAGATTCAAATCTTTTCGTATTGCATGTTTCTATCGTAAAGAGCTAGTCTTGGTGTAAAGTTTTGACCAAGATAGTATGGTTCTCGACTGTTTAGGTACTTACGAGCCATGACGGAACAATTAAAAGTACTTCATCAGCAGTAGCTAGGAATCCATCTAAGTGACTTCAAGCCTTCAGAAATATGATTATACTTCCTGAAGCCAAGAACTACCCTGTCAGCAAAGTTCTGAACCAATTGCAGTATATTTAACTTGTTTTAGAGGTATTGACCCACAAGGTGGAAAAATAATACAATTTACTGAAAAAACAAAAGCGTTAATGTAAAAGTAGCGTCTTCCTATCAAGAAGGTGCTGTTGATCCTAATTAATCTATGTCAAGAGATCATAATATGATCGCTTGTCTATGCATACAATCTGCGACCGTTTTGGTGACGTTTTATGAGGTAGGGATGATTCAATTACTACTTCCATATCTTTGGCCACAGATGCCCAGTAATTTAACCGGCGGAAAAGATGGCGGGCTTCTCGTAATCTTCGGGACTCTAATAACCAAGAGCTTAGTCTTGTCAGGGTTGATGACTAGGGAGTTCGTCCAGTACCATCTTGCTATTGACAAAGGATCCTTATTTAATGCAATAACCAGGAAAATTTTATTATATAATCCACATGAACTATTGCTTGGGATTGATAGAAGATCATTTACATACAGTTTAAATAGAAACGGTTCGAGAATAGAGCCTTGCGGTACATAAACAGGCCCCGAAGAGGGTTGGTCATGTTAACAACTTGGTTTTGTTGTTTTAACAACGAAACCAAGTTTCAACCAAGTAACTTCCAAACCAGTTGTACAATGAAGAGCATTGGACACCGCTATACCCTGAAGTTTTGACAGCATCAGATCGTAACGTATGCTACCGAACACCTTAGACATGGCTACACATGTCCAAAAGAACGATCACGGATTCCTTTTTCTCGTCCATGTTCTTTCGAATTTCATCTGTGAATTAAAATAGAGCAGTTTCCGTCGAGTGAAATCTCCTATTTCCACTTTGTAGTCTTAAAGTTTTCTCATTTTGGTCTATAAGGTAACAAACTCTAAGATTCTTCTGCCCTTTCGCAAACCTTGGACATGATGGGAAGAAGAGATATCGCGCGGGTAAAGCATTTCACGTCACAGGCGAGTTAGCGCTAATTCCTTCGAGAACATGAATCAACCAATGAATACTTTTCATAGTGTTTAGTCAACCAATCAAAAACGAAGATACTTATTGACCGAGAGATAACTAGAAAATCTGTCAAATAAGCTAACCACTTAAAAAAATAGCACATCATCTTATCTTAATGAGATCTCCTTGCATTTCGGTTCGTGAGATGATTAAAAGACAAAAGGCCATGACGTCATCGGTGTTAATGAATTCCACTGCAGGTTATATTAATGAGATTCCACCGCCGAAAAAAAAAAGGGAGTCGCCGGTCCCTACTGTACTACCCCGCAATGGAAATTTTAAGGGAGTTAAGCCAAACCCCCAAAGTTGTTATTCTACGCTGTTCCGTACAGGATTTTTTCTCAGTTGTGTAGATATGGTAATATGTTTCTCAGTATTTCCATGATAGCATGTCGAACATGTTTCATCTTCCAGGAGTAGATCAGAGGATTGAGAGATGAATTGAGGTAGGTCAGCATTTCAGTATAAAGTTCAAGGTTCGTTAGCACCGTATGTGGTCCAATGCTTAGGTAGATAATCATGCAACACGTGAGTGGCAGACAACAAATCAGAAACACAACATACACGTAGAATGTACCAACTGCAGCTTTTCTCTCCCTCTCAGCATTTCCCATATCTGTTCCATTATTCTGTGCTAGCTGTTCCTGCAAGACATGAATTTGATTGCTGTGGTGACGTACAGTTAAGTAAATCTTGAAATAAAACCAGGCTGTAGTTAGGTAACAAACACTATCAACAGTTATTACAATAAAGGCTTCAACATTCGGAGTCCTTCCTATAAGTATCGTCAGAATCGCACTTAAGATCCAAATGAAGATCACTACAGCAACAACGCGCTTGTGAGTCACGAGTTCTTGGTACCTGAGGTGAAGATGAATGGCCAAGAATCTGTCTGCGGCTAAAGCCACAACACCAAAGAATGAGGCATAGGTGAAAAAATATGCCGTGTTTCCCCAAAGGTCTGATACAATCTCAAAAGTTGAATTTTGAGTGTTTTCTTGTTTCAGCATGACAAGATATGCAACGTACAAAGGTTGAACCAGTAAACCAACACCCAGATCAGCTACAGCCAGACTCATCAGCAATGTTTTTACGGCTCTTGGTATCGTCAATGGTTTTCTCAGAGCTAGTATTGTTACAATGTTAAATGTTATGGCGGTAAAACCGAAGAATGCGTTAAAAACGCAGTTAGCGATGATTGAAGCTTGCATCATGGCATATTAATTGCTCATTACCTTTCAAAACTCTGCCTCCAGCATCTCTTTAGTTGATAGTATGGTTCCATTTTCACGTATGATGTTCACATTTTTCTTTTCTTTTTTACATTTATGCAACCGAAATAAAAGGCCTAATGTCATGACAGACATTGATCCTTATCGAGAGTTATCTGTATGACGTTACCTGTTAAGTAATGGAATTTTGGCTGCTTAAAAAGTATTTTTCAAACTAAATATTACCGTACAGGATTTATAGAACTCCAAAAACTGCTGTTTCGAACGAGCAACGGCAATATCAAAAGGTTATTACGTGACGAATAGTCTTCTTTATCTGAAGGAAATCCGGCTTCATTTTTCAAATTATATTTGTTTTATAAGGTGGCATTATTCTTCAGCTCAGTCAGGAGAGCGATATTAGTATTATTGTTCGTGAATAATTAATGTACTTGGGAAAAAGGGAACGGGAAAAAAAATGTTTGGTATTACTTCTGGGAAAAGTGTTCGGCAAGTGATATGTGTTGTAATTGAAAACTTGTCAGGACATATGTTTCAATTAAGTAAGTTAGAAGTGAGGATGAAAAATACGTACGTCTACGTTTGAAAACGTTTCTCGCACTCTCTCTTATTTGGCTACATAAATTGTTAATCTTCCGAAAGGTTGCGCGAAACATTGCAGTTATTAATAAGGACATCAACACACATTATGTCGAACTAGCTTGTTGTCTTTTAATTGCCTTCAGAGCTCAATTATTTTGCCATGACAAATTTCACGACAGCTCTTCCAGGTAGGGCTTGATAATACTAGCTGTTGATAATAGCAATAATTGAAATTGAAGCTGTGAAGAAAGTGATGGTGACTTTGAAACGTCTAGAAAAAGGTGGAAATTTATCCCTGTTAACATGAGTTGTTTTCCTAAGACTAATGCTAATTCTTGGAAAACTTATTCAAACGTATTATGCCTAATAACGGCGAATCCAAAAAGGAAAAAACTAATAGGTATTTACAAAACACAGACAGCCATAAGACGGCCAGTACCGCGGCTAATTTTCCTTGGTTATATTAGGTGCAGTATGGAAGTCGGAAGGTCCGGGTTATGGGTTCCTATGGGCGCCTGGTTATATTAATTAATTTTTTTTTTTTTAGCGCAAAAAAAATGTTGCTGCATTTTTTTTTTGTAAGTTTCCCTCCTCTACTGAATTAGGTCATTGTTAGTTAATAATTCGCGAGAGCAGATCCTCTCTGGATCCTTTACTTGAACAAAAATCACCCTCATTATTAATAAAGCAGTTTTTTTTTCAAACTAAATAAAAGCTAGATCAAAGAAATTGCTTCCTTAATTAAGTTTGATAACTTAGTAAAAACAGTTCATCACACCTGCATGAACGGAACCTAAAGAACCACAGTGTTTGTTGCATATCAGGTCTGATTAACAGCAAATACTTAAGAGCAAACATTTGTCTGCTTGCTTATTCCGAGCGTAGCGCCGTTATAATCTGGTCGCGCGCGAAGCGCGCGCTCAGTCTGCCAACCGCGCGTGGTCGTTGCCAGTTGCGAAATTCGAGGCTTCATGAATAAATATCAGGGCGGATAAAGGCTGGGCCAGGGCGGATAAAGGCTGGGCCAGGGCGGATAAAGGTTGGGCGGTGAAACGAGCGCTCCGCTCTTCATTTAATGTGTGATGCGGAGTAGGACTGGCACGAGCGCACTTTCCGCGCTTCCGGTGCGCTCGAGGGCCGGCGAAATTTTCCTTTTTGCAAACCGGAAACCCTATTTTCTTTCTGTAATTTCAGGCTACAATGTTAAATAGATAAATTCGTTTCATAACAATATCAATAAACAGTTTCATATGTTTGTGTCTGTACGTCTAGAAGTCAAACTTGTTGGTCGTATAATGCCAAAATTTGAGTTTAATTTGAAAGTGTTGAATACCTCCTTCTTCCACTAAATATCACCTTATCGTCTTTCGCCGTTTCGTTTGCAAAAGCTTAACGCTTCTTAACCTCAATTTTTACATATGTTAAAGGGGGATAAATTTTATATAACATAACAAAAAATTAGATTGATATATATTGATATAGTGGCGTTGTACTTCTTCAAACTTTGCTTCTCGGGTGCAACGCGCCATGGCGAATTGCAAATCCGGCAACCGCATGTAAACAAAATTTATTGAGGTTAGTTGTAAGGTTTTTTCTCCGCTTTTCTCTCTAAAACAAAACAAGGTAAACAGGAAAAACTGAGGGAAAACTAATTTTGAAGTTTCGAAGAAACAGAAAGACGTATGAGATGTTTTTTTCAAAATTAAAAAGAAGGATGATGGTGATTAATATTAGCATAATTTCACCTTGCACGAGCTGAACGCATTTATAAAATACACGTCATCTAGTTATGAAACACGATCTGTTGTCTTTTAGTTTTGCCACGGATGACATGGATGCGATTTTTCTTCGCGTTTTAGACAGTACTTAGTTGTTTTTGTTTTGGAATAACATCGACATTGGCGAGTAGCAGAACGCAAATATAATTCAGTGGTAGAGTCATGGAAGTAATAAAAGAAACCATTTGAAAGAGAGTTTTGTCTACTCCAACTAAACCTCCCGCAAAAATAGCAACATTTGCCTCTCGGAGACAGCGTACCAGCACAAAGGAACGAGGAAGAGGTCCAAGAAACAAATCAAGCCGCCATAATTCAGTGTCAGCGGCAGTGTCTAATGTACAAAACACATCGCAAACCCTTCGCAAGCCCTTCGCAAGCCCTGACCCATCCTCGGAGACCCAGGGGCAGATAGTAGGGGCGAGGGAAAGTCTAAACGGGCGGGAAATATGACTCGAAGAATAGTAAAGAACGATCCTTCGTGTCATATTTTCCCGCCCGTTTAGACTTTCCCTCGCGCCCACTATCTGCCCCTGGGTCTCCGAGGATGGCCCTGACCCAAGTCGAAAACAAGCGACATTTCTAAGCAGAGTCCCAGTCCACTGCATCACACCTTTTTGCTCGGACGCGCTCGTTTCGCCACCCAACCATTATCCGCCCTGATAAATATGCTTGGTATCCGCCAGTGACGTCATGGAGCATTTTGCGTTTCCAGGCAACACAAGGCAACACAGACTTCGCCGCCGATGACCAATTTACAAAGTTTTCAATCGTTGAATCACAAACAATTTCCCATGCAAATGACACACAAGCACAACAAGTGGCTCCAAATCCTCGCCCAGGAAGATTTTCCACCGAAACTTCTCTGGAGCGACAACGCCGATATATAGATCAAAGTCTGTTTCAGCTCTGTATTACGGCCCGAAGAAGGAGAACTGCACCGGGCCATATTTGTTCTTTGTTTTTGTCTTTTTCTAAATCCGGACGCCGAAATGGTGCTAAATCTGCTTTTCAATGCACTGTTAACAATAACGCCACATAATACGCAAAAAAGAAGAAGAAGAAAAGAAAGAACAACGTATGGACCTTTAAGACGATATTCGCATCCAGTTCGTAACCCCGACCGACAGGGCTTAACTTGAGTGCCATTACAAAACCGAGTTTCGCGAGGGTTATTGCGAGATACATATTTCTAGTTTATTTATTTACTTACTGATTTTGTATACATAACATATACAAGGTGGAAAAACAATTATTCTAGGACTCGAAGTTTCCTACCAGGCTAAAGCACCCTATGTTTTCCTCATATTTTGACAATACCATTATCATTATCA